GCCAAGCTGAGCGAGGAGTTCGCCAAGCGCAATGTCAAGATGATCGCCCTCTCCATCGACAGCGTGGAGGATCACCTGGGCTGGAGCAAGGTGCGCTGTCAAGCAGAGCTTTTAACATGAAGACCTGGGGGGGAAGAGTTACATACAAAAGCCAACACAGCCAATACAGCAGTGCATAACTGAATTCAGTGGACATGACAGATCAGATCACGCCAACAGAGAATGGCCACAGTAACAGGTAATGCAGTATCTTCAAGACCAAGAAACGGAGAGAGTCAGACTCGCAGTACTGTTTGGGGTCCTGGAGAGCCCTGACCCAACAGGGTTTGAAAGTCACCATGGACTCGCCAGTTTCTAAAGAAACGGACTGCAGTTCTTCTATGATCAAGTAAATGGGCGATTTGTTAAGTTATTTTCATGACAGTGTGAAGATTAAGTCTTAAGTACTCTTCAGCCTTCGAGGACCAGAGTTCTCTTAGTGGAGCAGATCACTTGAGATTCATCAGTAGCTTACAGGTGTTGACCATCTTTAACAACAGCTGACCACTGAGACTAACTGGACTGGTCCAGACCAGGGCTGGACACTCCTGCAGTGCGGTGTATCTGACTCTCCTGTGGCGTGTCTCTTGGGCTTGACAGTATCGTCTGTTACCGTGGCCGTTCTCTCTTCTGCTGTGGCAGTGCTGTAACTGGTCTGTCACGCCAGCGAAGCTCTTTGAATACATCAGGCTGGAGTCAGTCACTTTGTTGTCATCAGAGTGTAATGTGCTCCACAGGCTTTAGTGGGGGGAACTGCAGTCCTCTTCCTGAGCTGAAAGTGGCAAATCTGATCAGTTTATGCAAATTGGACACATGTTGCACAGCCTAACTTTAAAAATGTATTAAAAAGGAGAATGTTGCTAAAACTCGCATCAAGACCATTGCCAATGAGACTACATCACAAATACTAAGATGTAAGGTTTGAGTATTTCAGGCCGTCTTGTAGACATCATGTAGATGCCTCCACTTTATAAACTATATATTTTTTTAGTAGTCAGAAGTATTAGCCCACTCTTTAACATTAAGCACAGCAATACAAACTTTTACAACCCATGCACAAGATGGAATTGTTGGGGGATTTGTGCCTGTAAGTGACATTTAGGACAAATAGTGGGAAAGCTAGTGCACGTGCCCCACCTAGTGGTGGGTTTGGTTGTTGCACTCTTGAGGGCTTGTGTGCTGGGCGCTGGCCAGGGCAGTCCTAGGGTGTCTTTCCTTCGGCATCTTCAGGGCAGCACAATTTCCATCAGGCTTGTACAGGGGCCGGACTGGTTTCTCGCTCGGTCACTGCGCAGTGCTCACTCCCTCCCTCCCTCCCGCTTGCTCAGGACATTGTTGCCTACAACACGGAGCAGCCCGGGTCCAAGTTGCCTTTCCCCATCATCGCGGACGCGAAGCGGGAGCTGGCGGTGCAGCTCGGCATGCTGGACCCCGACGAGAGGGACAAGGACGGCATGCCCCTGACTGCGCGCTGCGTGAGTTGTCCCGGTCGCCGTGGTGACAGCGCCAGGCTGCAGCACAGTGCCCCGTAGCTCACGTGCCTCTCCGTGTGTCCACCTGCCCCTCCAGGTGTTCGTGATCGGCCCCGATAAGAAGATGAAGCTGTCCGTCCTCTACCCTGCTACCACAGGCCGCAACTTCGACGAGATCCTGCGCGTGATCGACTCGCTGCAGCTCACGGCGCAGAAACGCGTGGCCACACCCGTCGACTGGAAGGTCAGTGCAGTCCCAGAACCCCCTGCTGGCGAGACAGGAGGACCAGGACAACACCGGTTCTCACAGCCCCCAGCAGCAGAATTTGCTCTCTTTTACAGCCTCCCCAGTCTAGATTGTGGCAGCTGGGACTCCTCTCACCACTCTGACCCCTGCAGGGGTGCACGAGGACAGGCCTCAGTCTTGCGCTGTTGTGCTGCGTTGTTTCTCTCCCCCGGCACGCCCCAGGGCTCTGGGGCTCCAGCCATCCAGCCCTGCTCCTGAGCCACACCACAGCGTCGGTGCATGAAAGCGCAGCCCAGATCAGATCCCACAGGCTTGTGGAGCACATGAGTCGAGGTTACCTCCTCCTCCCCAGTGGATAAAGCACAGAAGCCAGCGACATGTGGACTAGACTAGAGGTTCAGTCCCCAGGCGAGCCTTTGTCCCTCCCCAGTCTTCTGCTGCCTGTGCCCTTGATTAAACATGTCCACATGGTGGACAACCGCACCTTTGCCCTGGGTTTCCAGGGCTGTTCTGTTCTAGCTTCTAGGTCCTGAGTCATATCCTGCTACAGGCCAAACCTCGAGCCTCTGAGTAGGTGCTAGACACCATGACCAGTTAGGAGAAGAGATATAAAGTTACCAAATGAAGGTTAAGTAGATCATGTTAAATACAGCAATAGATCAACTGGCTGTTACAGGTAGGATATCGCCGGTCTTACAGAATGTTAGACTGAGACGCTGTGAACATTCACTCTATTTAGAAAACATTAAATGTGGGTGTGAAACTTGAAACGACGCGTCGGCAGCTGCACCACTCTCTCCCACTCCCTCGCCCCTCCTCTTCCTCACCTCTGGCTCCCTCTCGGTCCCACAGCCTGGCGAGTGCGTCATGGTTCTGCCCAACATCCCTGAGGCCGAGGCAGCCACCCTCTTCCCTGCTGGGGTCTTCACCAAAGACCTGCCCTCTGGGAAGAAGTACCTGCGCTACACGCCCCAGCCATGAGGGGGCAGCAGAGAGCCCTATGCCCAGAAACCGCAGAAAGAGTGAGAGAGAGAGAGAAACACAACTACCCTCTGGAAAAGTGCTGGTCTTTTCCACCTCCCTTCTCCATGTGACCTTCATCTTCCCTGTCCTTGTGTAACTTTTTTTCCTGTCTCCCTCTTCCCATGTTGAAGTATTGAACACTGTGAGACCAGGGCCTCCCAGTCCTGGACAAAGTCCTGCACTAATAGCGTTACACAGCTGCAATAAAACACAGGAAGGCACTTAGCTGCAGTTGTTTTGTTTGGTGTGTGTGCATCAGTAGAGCTGACTGCTCTCTTCCCTTGGTTCAAACCTTTGCTCAAACCCGTGTTCTTTTATAAAATAGCACTGTTGCCTATCAGTCAAGGCATCTTTGTTTCCACGTGGAACGGCCAGTCATCTTTGCCAGTTTGTTTACCCAGCGGCCTGGGAATGGCTCACTGTGTTTTTTTTTTATGTGGCCTCACATGGGGAGAAAGAGGAAGTGGAGAAGACTCCTCCCACTCACCCACCTTTGAGCCAATCATCTTTTAGCATGTCGCAGGCAGCACAGTGAGAGGCAGCACAACCAGAGGATCAGCTCTGATTGGAGGGGAGGTTCATCCCTCACTGCCAGCATGACAAGCCTGCTGGCACCCGGGAGGCCCCAGGGGTCTCTTCCCTCCCACCCTGCCACCAGTGGCACTGTGCCACTGCCTGGGGGATCCTGGCCGCAGTCAGCCTCGAACCCGTGCTCATAGATCTTAGCTTGCCCTCGGAGGAATGCCTTTACAAGCTGAGTCACAAGGGGGCCCCTGTGAAAAAGTCTTTTTCAAGCCTGGAATGTTAATAATCTAATCTAAAAATCTCCCATTGTAATCTTTCAGATGTGTTGGAGACAAGTGTAGAGCAGGGGTTCCCCACTTAACGTCCTTAATGGGGACCATAATATTTGGAGATGTTAAGCAGGGACCCCCTGCGCTTGTAATAAAAGTATTCATGGTTGATTCATCTGCTGCCAAAGCCGTGCACGGTTTCCTGGGGTCCCATCCCCCACTTTCGGCCTAAGTGATGAGTGGTGGGCAGTGTCTGTGCTGTTGCAGAGCCCTTGGTCACTCCAGGGGAGACTCAGGTGTTACTTCTACAGGAGGCTGCACACTGGTGGTGGTGGAGGGGAGTCCCCATTACCTGTAAAGCACTTTGAGTGGAGTGTCCAGAAAAGTGCTATGTAAGTGTAAGCAATAATTATTACTGAAAGACAGCTCTGAATAGCACTCGGGGAATCGGACACTAATTTCTCAATAAGCAGAACAATGTAAAAAAGTCAGTAGTTTCTGTTCTAAAGCCTGACAAGTGAAAGCAATGTCATCTCGGAGTCAGGGGAGGAAGGGTGCTGTTTAGCCACCTACATCAATCATTTTTACTGGGGTTTGAGGACCTGGAAGGAAACGGCCCAGACTAGGATATCCTGTTAACTAGTTTGCACTTCTGAAAGCACTTCCCTGGTCCAGCAGAGGGCGCTGTGCTGCCGTACAGGAGGGAGAGCTCATGCAGGAAGAGCTGGAGCAGCGGGACTATTATGGGATGTGTGAATGACATCACTCTTTGGAGAGCAAATGCAGGGCTTTCCGGGAATAGCAACAATAATAAACATCCCTTGGCCAAGGCTTGAGCCTAACAGCAGGATCGGCTAAATCCCTGGCTCTCCCTGCCAGAGCCGGAGCCAGCACAGGGAGCCGACTCTCCAGAGCGCTCTGGATTCCTCATGCTTGCCAGCCTGAGCCCGGAAGACATGGATACTGTAATTGTTTCATCCTGGGGGTCTGTTTATTGTTAGGAAAAGAGCCCTGTGTGCCTGTTGATTTTTTTAAGCACTTTGTTTTTGTGTATTAATCCACTCCATACCAGCAGAAACATGCGGTTGTGTGTTCCTGCTGTGGAGTCCTTCACCGCATGACAGGGTGACGGAACTGAACCTTCTCAGTTTTATCAAGAGACGAGTGCGAGGGAACCTAATGCAAGTGCTCAAAAATCATCAAAGATAGCGACTGTCAGCCTAGCGGGCTTCTTTGGAATGGGCAGTGTGACACAAACCTAAGGACACAGATGGAAGTGCATTTAAAGCTGAGAATAGGTAGCACTTCTTTACACACAGAGTTGTGGGAGGATGGAACAGGCAACCCCACCACATTCCAAGATCCAACCAACAGTTAATAATAATAATAATAATAATAATAATTGCTTATACTTATATAGCGCTTTTCTGGACACTCCACTCAAAGCAATTTACAGGGAATGAAGACACCCCTCCCCCACCAACAATTTGCAGCCCCACCTGATGCGACGGCAGCCATAGTGCACCAGTATACTCACCACACACTAGCTATCATATGATCGGTAATGGGAAAACTGGCCAGGACATCGGGGTTCTTTTCGAGAAACGCCCTGGGAGTTTTAATGACCACAGAGAGTCAGGACTTCGGTTTTACATCTCATCCGAAGGACGGCGCCTTTTTACAATGTAGTGTCCCCCGTCACTATTCTGGGGCATTAGGACCCACACAGACCCCTACTGGTCCCACTGCCACCTCTTCCAGCAGCAACCTTAGCTTTCCCAGAAGGCCTCCCATTCAGGTACAGGCCAAGCCCACACTGATGGGCTGCAGTGGGTTATCAGTTGTGAGTTGCAGGGTGACATGGCTGCTGGTGCTTGGCTATACTGGGCTGGATGATCTCTCGTGTGCGACTGTTCCTGTGTGTGGGACTCTGCTACAGCCGCGTCAGGACATGCCTGTCTCCCAGCCATCTGGTCTCAGACACCTGTCACACTGGGCAGACCCCAGGGAGAGCAAGAGGGAGAGCTCAGCTGCAGCGAATTGTGATGACTGCGTAGTTTGGTATGTGGAAGCGAACTGGGATTTGCACTGCTGTGGGTCTGGGGGCACCAGGCTTTAAAATCTGCCGACTCAGGAGACTGGGAGCCTGCCTGTCCTGTCAGAGAGGGGCGGGGGGAGGGGGGCATCGGCTGCAGCCGCAAAGCAGGAAAGCAAAAAGCTCATGGTTGCTGAATCGAGCACGCGCACAAACAGGAACTAGCCTCCCTGCCGTAATGGAAGCACTTTTCCAGGAAGAGCCCGGGCTCCGTGACGCAGCTGGGGTTTCCCTCAGTGCTGAAGACAGACGTTCTCACTTCTCCTTGCGAAGAAGGCTGCCAGGCCCCAGAATCGAAACGCGGCGGCTCCTGCGAAGAGCTGGCAGAGACACTCACCCTGCAGGCCCAGGGCCGCGGACATCTGCTCTCGCCTTCAAACTCGCCGCCAAGATCCGCCCGACAGCGAGGAGGACTGCACGTGAAGGCTGTTACTAACTCATCCCTGGGGAACCCGATGTTCTGCTCCACAGGCTTGAGTTCACAGCGCCCCCTAGTGGCACCAGTGAGGCGCTGCAGCCAGGTACAGTGTGGCTTCTGCGTGTAATGTGACATTAATATTAACCATCATCAGCAGCATCATCACCCTTACACTTATATAGCTCTTTACAGGTAATGGGGACTCCCCTCCACCACCACCAATGTGCAGCCCCACCTGGATGATGCGACGGCAGCCATAGTGCGCCAGAACGTTCACCACACACCAGCTATCAGTGGGGAGGAGAGCAGAGTAATGTAGTCAATTCATAGATGGGGCTTATTAGGAGGCCATGATTGGTAAAGGCCAGATGAGGAAATTTAGCCAGGATTTAGCTACTAGGGTAACATCCCTACTCTTTTCGAGAAATGCCCTGGTATTTTTAATGACCACAGAGAGTCAGGACCTCAGTTTTAAGTCACATCCAAAGGGGGGCACCTTTGAAAGTATAGTGTCCCTGTCACTATATTGGAGCAATAGGACCCACATAGACCACACTACTGGTCCCACTAACACCTCTTCCAACAGCAACCTTATCTTTCCCAGGAGGTCTCCCATCCAGGTACTGGCCAGGCTCACACTGCCGAGCTCAACTGCAGCTTGCTCCACTGCCTGATTCTTTAAACCTCTAAATTTATCCATCAGTGCATGGGTAGCTCTGTAGGCTTGCACATTTTCTTGTTTTCTTTCCAGCTGACCTTAATTACTTAAATTAAGTCTTAATTGGTCTAAACGTACCTGATTGGAACATTTGCATGTTTTTTTTTTCTGCTCTTATGTTTGGGATTTTATTTTAGGAAACGCAGTAATGGGAAGTTGAGCTCCTATACGTTTAAGAGCTCAAAACAGTGCAGTTAATAAGACAGTGAAGAGCTGGCAGGTGTGCATGGGCCTCCAGCAGTAGGACCGGGAACACCTGCATTAGTGCGCACACGAGAAACCAGCAGACTCGGAAATGCACGACAGGAAGAGAGAGGCTCTTCTGCAACTTAAAACAAAAAATCCAAAGGTTATTTTCAGCCAGAGGAAACCAGAGCCCGTTTCTGGTTCCTCTTCAAGAGGCGATGAGCAGCGTGTGCTGCCACAGGAGAAACTCTCAGCTGGAAAGCGCTGAGTCTTCCAGCAGAGACGCAGAGGTAACTGCAGGACAGCTGCACGCAACCAGCTCAAAAGAAAGAAAGAAACTGTTCCTTAAAGGGACTGGAGGACTGGTTTACAGCTGACTTAAACCAGGACCGAGACCAGCTCTGAAGAAGGACTGGCCCTTCCTGGAAACACGAACAGAGTCGATTTGTCCTCGGGTAACCGAGGGAGGAGTCACTGGGGCAGAGTGGACACCAGGCCAGCAAAAAAAAAAGAGAGAGAAAAATCAGCCGAGGTGCAGAAGGGATTTCAGTCTCAATTCCTGGGGAGGGCAGGGGTGTAGAGTCTTCATTACTTCATTGAAACACTCACTTCGTCTAATTGTTTTCTTCATCGGCAATTACATTTTTTTTCCAAGATTTATCAAGTCTCTTAAAGACATGCTGACTCAGGGCTCGAGATCATGATCGTTTGCAAATAAAAGATTTTAATAGCCACTGGCTTAGTTGGTGCTGCTCCTAAATATTTAATTCGATTGTATAAATGCTTAGATTGGGGTTTGGGTACATAGATTGCACCAGATCCATTCCAGCTGTGTCCCTGACTAGGGCTCTAGCCAATGTTATTTTCTGAGAGTTTTTCAACCCTTCCTTGATCCTTAAAAGCTAGATTTCACCTGTGCACATTACTTTAACATATACCCTGAAACCTCCAGCAGGAGCTATGTTCAAAGGACTAAAGATAATTAATGATCAACAGGGCTATTAAGACTTTATAACTAAGTTATTAACATTGAAAGATGATCCTTTCCTGGTATAAATCAGCATCAGTCCTTAGTAATGGAACACACCATCGTAGGAACAGGCCAGGGCCTGGGTTAAATCGGCAAATATGCCCAATTTGAGGGTGACGTTCTGTATATGTGGATGAGGAAAGGTTCTGCAAACCAGCAGTGTTTCCCGCTGTGTGATTCTGAATGAGCTGGGACTGGAACAAGGCTGGGTTGTTAGGGAGCGTGTGAATCAACATTCTGCAGCAGCCAGTGCGCAAGACCTACAGTAAGAACTGTGTCAAACGAGAGGAGGCCATGTTGGCGAATCTAGCCTGTTGGGCTGTCAGAAGCTTATCTAGTCCACCTTCGAGAAAGAAGCTGGGGTATCAGTTTCAGCTGCACGGGGATGTAGCTTGTTCCACACTCCTCCTGTTGTTTTGGAGGCACCTCCACTGCTGTGTTCAGAAGACTAAATTAGGAACTAAAAGAGCTGAAATTCTCCAGGCGCCTGCGCACAGATTTCACCGCTCAGAGTGGGCAATTCTTTTGAGCACAGGCAGCAGGGGTGCCCAGCCCTGGTGCCAGGGGGATTTCAAGCGCTCTTCAGCTGCAGCCCCCGAGGAGCTGGGAGAAGCTGTTAGATTGGCACAGTTAAGCCAGCCACCAGCTGGTTTAGCTCGTTAAGAGTTCAAGCAGGGAGCTGCATCAGCATGCGTGGGCTGTAAAGGAACAAGTAAAGGTTTATTCCATGCCGACAGCAGAAGAAACAACGTTTCAGCTGTGTGCCTTCTGCAGGTGTCCACAGCCGAAAAATTATTTCTTTTCTTCTCTTTTCAGCATGGAATAAACCTTTACTAGCTCATTAAGAACCAAGTTGACTTAAGACCTACAGACAACCTTGCTCCTTCAGGACAATCCTGCAGGTAGGAGAGGAATCGACTGGCCTCACCAGCCACGTGGGACACAGTTCAGTTTTATGTTAAAATCCAGTTAAGCAAGACTAAAAAACGGTGCTGTTTTTCTCACTGTGCTTGCGCTGACGGAAGCTTATCTCAACCTCACTTTCACCAGCAGAGCTGCAATATCTCTGTGGCCCAGGCCAGGGCTAAGCGCAGAGCAGACAGCAGTGGGATCCGGGCTGCGGTGGGGGACTGCAGTCACTCAAGTGGGGAGAGTTCGGACATGAATACACAGTCATGCCCTCGGGTAACATCACTCTCTCCTCTCTGCACACGGCACCTCGCAGAACTCGCCCCCTTCCAGTCACCTGCCAGTTAGCCCAATTCCAAAAGGAGCAAACCAGCGATGCGTGTTCAACCAGCTGGCGGCTGAAAGAAATGTCCGTGAAGAAAAATCAAACCCTACCATGCTGATTGCTTCTCCACCGCCCCCCTTTTGCTATTCAATAAAACGGCTCATTATCAGAAGGGGGTAATACTTTAGCAAGGCATTGCATAATTATTAATAACAAATAATAATATAGAAAAGGCATGGGCCATAAGTGATGTTATGGAATGGACCTGGAATCCCAGCCCCTGCCTTGCCAGGATGAATTTGAGGGCCAGTTTTGACAAAGACCCTCTGTCCGGCTCCTGCAGCCCTCCAGTGAGGCACCTCTGTACTGTACAAGCACCCTGCGCCCAAGAGCTCCAAAGACCTACAGCAGCACCGCAGGGACCACAGCAACAGCCACACTGCTGTCCACAGCCAGGAGAAGCTTCCACCTCTCCAATTAAGCAGTAACAAGTTCAATTAGGTAATTAACAGCTCAGATGGAAAGCATGCCAGGACTGCAGTTGTGCATCCCTGCTCTAGTGGAATAAGCAAGATGGGCCAATTACATCCCTCGTAAGCTTTCTTAGGATGTCCTAGAGTACCGTTCAGTGTGTCCAGTTCAGCCCGGAATGAGAGGAGTTACTGAAATGCGCTGGAGAGGAGCGGTTTCGAGGCCTTCATCTGCTCCACGTTTGCTCAGAGCCACAGTACGCGCCGCAGAGGTACAGTGCAAAAGGCAGAGCCCCTCGGTCGTCATGGTTTCACAGCAAAGTCGCACAAAATCAGATTCAGTCATCTATGAACTCCTCTCCTCCCTGCTTATCCCGCCGTGATCACTTCCTGCCATGTGCTCGCGGCCTGAGCCCACAACTTCCCCTTCCCCTCCGACGTTGCCATGACCATATTTATTATTGGTTGGTGTGTCCCCTGCCGTTTCCAGGGCGACTGCATCTCTCCGTGATTGGGGTGAGCCCCCGTGGGTGCCCTGTGTTGGCAGGATGTTGTCATGACAGCAATAACAAGACCCTTATCAGTGTACCAGTGCGCATCTGCATGCCTTTAAGAAGTTGAGTTTAAGGAGGAAATACTGTCACACTCAGGGTGATTGTTTCAGTAGTGCCTGCGCGCCTATTGATCATCGTATACGAGTTTTGTATGACTGAAATACATTAGCCAAATTTTCTGTTAACTCAAGAATAAAATTGAAGGGGAAGGGGTACAAATCCAACTGGCTTTTGGGCGTCATCTATTTAAGCATCTAAAGATGTTTCTTTAACTTGGCTTTACAGCACTGGAATGTATCCGCTCTTGAAAAGCGGAGCTAATTTAGGGTCTGCTTTCCAAGTTTCTAAAGGTAGCGACTGGCCTCTTCTGGACAGTGTCCTCCCTCCTGCTACTCGGCTGTCCGCTCACTGTTGCTCGCCCCAAGGGCTTCTGGGTATCTCTGTCCTGAGCCAGATGGGCGAACACTGCACACTCTCACAACACAGCCACCGTGGTACTGGCCCACTGCCAGTGTCGGTGGAACCGCATCAAGACCCGACACCTCCAGGGGCTGCGCTGAGGTTTCGTTTCTCCGCACAACCTCACAACAGACAGGCAGCAGGCTTCCTCCGTCAGCTAGTCTGTGAATTTCTTAAGAAAGCACGCGCGCATGCATGGACACACGCAGACAAACGGGAAGGAAGGACGCAGATGAGTCAGATTTTTTTTTCTGCAAATTATTTTTATGTTTTGCTACCGTCTTCATTTTTAGGTAACAGGAACTATACAGGACAACTGGATAATATGAAAAAAGTATTTACAAAAACTGGGTAGTATATATATATACTAGTGTTTCGATACATTTCTTTTTTATAAAAAAAAGACATTAACCGGAGCTCTCTTGGGAGAGAGTGGGTAGGTGCTGAGAGCTGTGCTCCGGACTCCAGCCTTGCTACCACAGGACATGTAGTGTGCTCAAAGGGTGCTCTACTGAGAGGCACACAGGAATGTCACAGCTCTGCAGTAGATGTAGCTTAAAACCCACAATGGATAAAAACCTCACGGGTGAAATTTAAGGCCAACAAAGGCAGCACATCAATCTCTTCAGTCATTAAGATGCAGGACTGGTGTCTCTGCGGGATCAGGAGATGACGTACTGCTGCAGCATTTCGACAACTCTGCAAAACACTGTGCTTTTCGTGAAAAGTGATATACTCCAGGAAACTGAAATCACCTGGTGACGTAGCCACTGGGAGTCCCTTGCACTCTTCAGCCCTGACCCTGGGGTAACCTGTACCCACCTCCCCCAAGGAGAATGGCAGTAACCTGTTCCGGACTTTGGTAATAATTATGCAGAAAACAGACTCTTTCATTTTCTACAGAGGGCTTCACTGTGCAAAGGTTGCACTGTCTTAGCAAATGGTGCCGTTTTTAAACAGAACTTCAGGTTTTAAAGTGACTCGGAAGTACTCGTGAAAACCACGCAGATCAAATTCTCTGCCACCTAATCCTAACTCTGCAAGCAAATGGAACTACGATCAACCCCCTTTTCTACCCAGAACAAGCGCATCAGCACACCATTGCTCAAAATGAGGACTGACAGGATGCGTCAGATCTACCCCTCTCCCCAGGCTCCACCGGGAGGCAGTGTGGAGCTGTGTAGTAGGAACTGGGGGTCCCCAGTGCCAGGGAGCAGCAGCGAGGGGGACGGGGTGCTTTGATCAGAAAATCGGAGTGGCTAAGACTCAGCCCTCTCTCACCCTCAAGCAGAAGAAGTGCCGCATGTGCAGATGGCAGGCTTTAATGAAGACTGCTTTGGCAGTGATAGATATGTAAGTAGATGGTAAAAAAACTCAGTGACAAGTGCGATCTCAGAACCAAGCACAGGGTTTGCCCTAATTCAGTCTCCCTGCAGGCAGTTTTAACAAAAGCCCTTCAGCAGGGGAAGGGCAGCCAGCTCCCAGTACTGTGCTGTACTGTACATTGGCTGCTTTTCTGCTCTGTCCACAAGACAGGGTTGAGTGACCAGTCGGCACAGTGTTGCAAAAGCCAGCATAGCTCTTCACGTGGCTGAAAGCTCAAACGATGGACTGCGTACAGGGAAACTGGCCCTTGTGCTCCGCAGCGTGCCCTGTGTGTAGGGAGGGGCAGCGTCCAGGCAGCAGCAGTACGGAGGGGTATTGGCGTGAGATGAGCTCCACTGTACCTCACTGCCTGACCGCTGCCCACAGCCCCAAGCCCCTCACACAATTCTTCTGTTCTTGTGCTCTGTATGCGTTTTCAGAACTCAACGGTAACAAGGATTCCCGGCTGCTCTTGTGCTTTCACTTTCTGGTTTTCCTCCCCCACCCTGTGACATTTACAAAACGAATAAAACTATTTTCGGGTGGCTTTCAGGACCCCAAAACTCAGAAGTGCAACCGTACTGGATAAACGGCCAGCCCCTGGGCACAGGAAGAGGAAGTACTCGGTTAACTACGCCAACAGGAGCCAATCGGAACGCCAAGCGTGGCGTTCGTCAAGCGGCTCGGGGCGTGCGGGGGAACCGACGGAGGACGGCCCCCTCCCCTGGGGGGGTGGGGGGGTCACACCAGACTCCCGCCCCTCCCCCCCCCCACAATACCCGAGAAACAGCGGCAAAGTGCAAGTCCGTTCGCCATAACCGTCGCCAGGGGAGACCACGGCGTAACTCGGCAACAAGGCCGAAAATTGTCAATTCTCCTTCTTCTTTTCCTTCTTCATTGGAAACCAAAAAGAAAGGCAGGAAGGAAAAAAACCTCGAGGAATACTGATGGGCGAGAGGACGAGGGGCGTCCTCTCCTGTGGCGGAGTGTCCATGGAGATCTCCGGCCTCCGCCGGTCGCTCTGTCCAGCTGTCAGTCAGTCCACACGGAGAGAACAGGGGATGCTGGGAGGCGGCGGGGATACAGGTGCTCTTGGAAGACGGGGAGTGATTGTCCGTGCCCAACGTGCGATCACCTCGACGACCGAGTGGAGCAGGAAAGTTCCGTGTCCCCCAGGGTGGGTGCGTACATCCATGACATCCGTGTGCGTGCGTGCGTGTGCGTGTGTCCGCGCACTCCAGTCCCAGCATTCCCTCCAGAGCAGCGTGCAGCTCGGGCTCCTCCTTCCGGCTCCGCGCGGGTCCCGACTCCCCCCACCCCTACAGCGTGACCTTGCTGAGCCGCTGCGCCAGCCCGCTGCGGCGGTGCGCGCGCGGGAGCGTGGAGCTGCAGCGGCTGCGCAGCTGCACCGGCCGGCCCGGGGAGCCCCGGCGCCGCAGCAGGAAGTTGTAGTCCGCCGAGCTCTTCATGGCGTAGAACACGTTGGCGTTGTCCGGGATCACCAGCTCTGAAAGCGCAGGAAGGGCAGGGCGTGAGAGCGGGTCCGTTTCTGCGGGGGCCTCCCTCCCCGAGCCCCCCGGGGCCCTCCCGGCCACTAACCCACACGGACGCTCGAGACAGGAAACGAGAGCATGATGGGAAGGCAGGCGGAGAGGCGTGCGGGAGGGAGAGGTGGAAACGGGGACGGGCGTGAAGGAGACCGAGCCTACACAGACCAGGCAGGCAGGCCTACCTCTCTCCTCCGAAATGACCTGCACCAGTTCGTAGCTGTCCGCCGGCTCCCCCTCCAGGTTGTGTTTGGTCATCGCCCTGGTGATCACGGCCGGGGTCTTGTCCTGGCTGGTGAGCTGGATAGGAAGAAAGGGAGAGGGGTCACCGACAATCCACGCCGCTGCCGTCCACACCTGACCCACCCCCCACTGGGCTAGCAGCCTTATCGCCCTGCAGCTCACAGCTGGCAGCCCCACTGAAGCTCAGCAGGTGTGAGCCTGGCCAGTACCTGGATGGGAGACCTCCTGGGAAAGCTGCTGGAAGAGGTATTAGAGGGGCCAGTAGAGGGCGCTCATCCCAGGGTGTTTCTTGAAAAGAGTAGGGGTGTAACCCTGGTGTCCTGGCCAAATTTCCCCATTGGCCTTTACCAATCATGGCCTCCTAATAATCCCCATCTGTGAACTGGCTTCATCACTCTGTTCTCCTCCACTAATAGCTGACATGTGATGTCATGAGTGGACTGATGACCATCCAGGTGGGGCTGCACACTGGCGGTGGTGGAGGGGAGTCCCTGTTGCCTGGAAAGCGCTTGGGGTGCCAATTCGCAGCACACGACGGGGAGACGGGGAGCGGCAGGGCCTCACCAGGATGCTCTTGTAGAGGTTGCCGTTGCCCTGCTCCAGGCTGACGCGGACGATGCAGGAGTCCTGGCCCTGCGGGTTGTAGGCGGGCGGCGCCGGGCCGGGCGAGGTGGGCGACAGGGAGCAGGAGCGGCGGTGCGCGGGCAGGGGCGCGGGCAGGGAGGGCGAGGGCGGCACCGTCACGCTGGCCGAGGACGAGGACGTGTCCATGGAGTGCAGAGACGAGCAGGACGAGGACTCCGAGAGCTGGGAAGAGAGAGAGAGAGGGAGAGGTTCATACGGACCGCCCTGCCTCCCGAGAGCCGATCTAAAGAACACGCCACGGCTACACTTTTCGGCCTCTTTCGGGGATCCCCATGCCCGCTTTTCAGTACCTTTTTGGGGGGCCCATCAGGCGAGTGGGTGGGGGTGAGGCTGCCTTCGGGCTCAGAGGGGCTGGAGTCGCTGGAGGACACGCTGACAGAGTCCATGCTCTCCCCAGAGCTGCCACTGGGGGGCGACCTCGGGCTCTCCTTCACCGGCGTGCTGCTCACCACGGCCTCCGACCCCAGAAACAGCCTGGCCGGGCAAGGGAAGACAAGAGGGAGGCGTTGGAGAGAAGCAGGTGGACCGGCTCCAGAAACCGCAGAAGAGAAATGAGAAGTTCTCCATGCGTCAGGCTGGAGGTGTGGCTCGGTCAGTGTCCGACAGCGGGCCAGTATATCCTGGCCCCAGCGGTGCTGGGCAGGAGGGGTCGGTCATACTCACAGACTCAGCCTCTTGACCATGCTCTTGCGTGGCTTCGGGGAGGTGGGGCTGCTGTCGCCCAGTCCTTCAATGCCGCAGGACAGAGTGTAACTGCAAAGCAACAGTGGAGGGGAGAACATAAGTGAGGAAATGAGAGACCAGCACAATCTCCTTTCTACTCCTATTTCTATTGTCCAAATCTGAAGGGCCTATCTAAAAAGGCATAAGCTGTCCATCACAATCCCATCAAAACAGAACAGAATTAAATACAGCTGCAAATGGCAATTATATAAACAGTTTCCTTTATATAATATCCTTTATATCCCTTTATATAATTGCCAGACTGGCAGATCTACCCAAACAGGACCATGGGCTGCAATTCAAGCAAAAGGCGCTTCTGCCAGATACTAACTCAGGGCTGTGTAGGCTCTCCCACCCCCCTTTTCCTAGATTTTCATTTACAGCTACTTTTCAGAACGTTTGTGTGTTTGTTTGGCACTTGGATGTTGTGTTACAATATGCAAATGGAGGTCAAATAAATTTGGATTTTAACACGTCTTTACTCCAGGCTGTCAGGCCACTAAATGCGTTGCTCTGGAAAGGGTGTGTAGTCGTTCGTTAGGACCAAGCGTGTCAGGGGATCGTTCCTGCGTGTGGGCAGTGCATCGGGCTCGCCAGGAATACAGAACGGTGGACACGGACCCGAGGGACCGAGGGACCGAGCCAGGGCAGGAGCGGAGCAGGCTGCGGCCTACCTCTCCTCCTCGCTGTACTGTGGCTGGCTGCGGAACCAGCGCAGGAAGCCGGGGTCGGGCGTCAGGCAGTAACTGTTGCAGGCCGACTGCAGGAGCTTGATCTGGGCGATCACTTCAAACTCCTGGAGGCGGGGGGCAGAGAGAGAGAGAAAGAGCGGGATGAGTCTCCCCGATACCCTACACTCTCGGCTCCAGGAAAGGGGGAGGGGATTGGAAGACAGTGAACTCACCCTGCGCCTCTTCTCAAAGTTGATCAGGCCGTTCTGCAAGAGAAAACGAGGCACTGTCAGAGTCTGCGCTCGCACGCACGCGCGCTCCACCCCAGCTCCTCTGTTCCTTGCCCTCGCTCGGGTGCGAGTTCACTGCGGGGCAGCCCCTGCATCGGACCCGGCCTGAGAGAGGAGGAGGAGGGCAGGGATGGGGGTGTTTCGCGAAGAGGGCAGTAGTGGGGCAGCTGAGTGGGCAACAAGGGTAATGCCCGATGACTCACCTCCACAAAGTCGGGGAGCGCCGTGTCCAGCATGGTGAGGTCCGTCAGAAACGTGCCCAGGTAAGGCACTGTCCCCTGCATTGCACCCTGGGAAGGGAGAGGGGACGCGGTCAGTGGGGGTGGGCGAGCAGAGCCAGGCTGGCACCGTCCCCACACGGGTAGTCACACGTCACTCACACAGACACACAGAGGCGCACGCTCTCTCTCGGCTGTCCCTCACCGTGTCCCTCTGCAGCTGCAGTCTCTTGTGAGTGCGCTTCTGGTGCTCCTTCACGCTGCTCTCCAGACTGGCGAACTTGGACGTCCCCTCCTGAAGGCAGAGAGAGGGGCTCGCTCACTGCGCAGTCACACAAGCTTCCCCGAGAAACAGCTACACAGCTCGCCGGCAGGACGCAACACGAAAATCTCTCAAAAAGTGGGCCCTTTCCCAGTGCGCTCGGGGTGCCACCCCTCATGGCAAAGGTGCGTGTTTAGGTATAGAGGACTGGGATGAGGTGTAACGGTTTCGTTTTACGGGGTTACCTTCATGAGGAGCTCGCGGCTGGTCAGGTAGTTGTTATGATCCGAGAAGATACCAGACAACTCGTCAAAGGTCTGCATGCTGTCCCTGAGGGCGGAGAGGGGAGTGAGGGGAGAGGCAGAGAGCACAGCTTATCAGGACACGTCTCTGAAGGGGCTACTCCATGGAACAGCCTTTAAATCACAAGACACTTTACCCCAAGAGTAGCGGGAGAGTGGAACAAACTGCACAGCTACCCTATAGAAGCCGACATTCTGCAGGCCACTATCAGCTAAGAGCTAACAGCTGGATGAGATCTTTGTATCGCTATCTACCAAACAAGCTAGAAGCACAGAGTATTCTCTTCTCAGGGACCACTCTTATGCCCTTATTAATGACAGTGATTAAAGCTGCATCCAATGCCAGATGCAGACCTACAGGCCAGCAGGCACTCGGACTGGTGGATGGACCGACGGAACCGAGACGGGAGCAGGGACTCACTTGTGCACGCAGGCCCAGGTCCGTTTGAGGCGGTACAGGGGGTTGGACTGCAGCGCCGAGACGATGGCTCGCAGGGACGAGAAATTCTTCCGGATTCGGCACTCCTGAGGGGAGGAGAGGTCATTCGCAAGGCAGCTTGGGAAGGTCAGAGACCGTGTCCAGCCCCACTGCACTGCCCAGTGTGCGCATGGCAGAAGTCGTGCTAATGAGGCAGATAAAACTGCAGGAAACGCACTCTGGAAATAGCCCCCGCCATGTATCGGAGTCAGCACCGCCACACAGCGTGGTCTAGCAGGGTGAAAGCTGGCTTGGACGTACACGCGCTAATGTTAATTAGCGAGGTAAACTGCGTTGCGTTTTGATAATCTGTTGGACGCAATCAGGCTAATCAGGCTGCCTGGGCCTCTGCTCCAGGTCCATAACAAAGCCTGCTTCCCACCCCCAGACTCCAACACACAGCCCACCGCTGTGCCAGAGAGCCAGCTGGCCTAGTGGGGCCATTTAGAGAAGCGCAAGGGCCAGAGCTAAACAACAAAACCCATGCAGATAGGAGAGAACGTGCAAACTCCACACAGGAGGTGATCTATGCTGGAATAACACCTCTAGCCCAGGAGCTGCGAAGCAGCAGGGCCGACGTCCAGATTACCTTCCGTGCTGGTCGTCATTCGCCCCTTTCACAAACACGTTACAGACCATCGGTCTTCTGCAGAGTCGTTAGGCCTGCTGAAGACGAGGTTCCCGAGTGGCGCTTGCAGACCCGGGGAGCAGGGCCGGCGGCGTACCTGCGCGATGTCGATCCAGCGCTCGATGATGCGGGCGCGGAGGTTGGGCCGCAGCTCGCGCCCGCGCAGCACGGTGCTCACCACGCAGGCCGCCACCGCGTTGAACTGCGTGATGGTGGCGCGGATGGTGGGGGCGCTCTGCTTGTTCTCCTTCTTGTCCCGCTGGGACCAGATGGAGCCCAGGCAGTGATGGGGCACCACCTTCTTAAACAGCTCCTGAGAAGGCGAGGGAGAAGAGCCTTGAACCCCCCCTGAACACCCTCTGCACCACCGCAAAAACACAAGCCTGGCCCACAGACTTACCGCGTCCATGTACGTCAGCTGTTCGGCCACCAGGTCGGCCTCGAAAGACAGGAAGTCCTCCGGCACCTCGATCTCTACTTCCTCCTCTTCTCCCAAGCAGAAGGCAGTGTTGCCTTGGAAACCACCTGAGTTGAACAGGAGGTGGGGGGAGGGGGGTCAGGAAGGTGAGACATGCGAGCCAGTGGTGCCCAGTTGTGCCCATGCCCATGACCATCCCACCACACCCCCCTGGCACTGGAGCTCTCTCCAGGAGGAGCTGATCCACGGGCACAGTGGCACGTCTCCAGACAAGGCTTTGGAGCCAGAAGCGTGGCACTATGGTAAACCGCGCCGTCTGTGCAGTCCCTGCCAGCGATTTCTCCCCCGGGATTTGTGCCCAGGCTCGGGCTTCCCGCTCTGCCCCGCTCCCTCACTCACCCTCCGGGTCGGGGTCCTGGGCCGCCTGCCCCCGGAGCTGCTCCAGCAGGCTCCGAGCTCGCCGCGCCGGCTCCGACCCCGGCAGCGCCCTCTGCAGGTACCCCAGCACGCGGTGCAGGTTGGGGTATTCCGGAGGCTCCTGGAAATCCTCCGGACACTGATCCAGCCAGGCGCGCAGGATGGAGGCCAGAGCACTGGGAGACGGAGACGGAGACCGAGACAGGGAGGGTTAGTACAGACACAGAGGCACAGCGGGGCCACAACGCGACAGGCAAGGAATGATGGGACAGCCGTGCCCAGCCCCTCCCTCTCAATGCTTCATCAGAGCTACAGGTGAGCAGGGTTAGCCACAGCAGCGCGGAGCTGTGCTCGGGGCTTTGCGGGGCTGCGGGTTCAAACCCCCTGCTCTGCAGAGCCAGGCTCTTGGTTTCAATGACTCCCTCACAGCGCCCAGCAGTATAAATGAGAACAAAACGCATCGGCATGGAGAAAAGGCAGACTGCACAGGGCCTGGAGTGAAACAGACGGACAGCCGGGGGGTGGGGTCTTACTTGCGCACTGCTCCGCGGGTGTCAGTGGGGCTGGGGGGCTCATTCTCCACGCCCTCACCTTCATTCCCGAACCTGAGAGAGAGAGAGAGAGGAGGAAGACCGTTACAGCGCACGAGGGAACAGGTCCGGACAGCAGGGCCGCGCGCGTTCCGGGACGTACCGGTCGAGGAGCAGACGCAGCACGGCGGCCGTGCTGGCGAAGGCCCGGTAGGTGGACAGGAAGATGCTGGTGTAGGTGAGGTCGTTGTCCCCGAACGCGGTCAGCAGCGTCTCCACCAGCCTCTCCAGCGTGCCCGCCCGGATGCTGCGGATCTTGCAGGTCTCCAGCTGGCTGACCGTGTGGCCGGGGGGAAGCCGGTCTCCTTCCGCCTGCGAGAGGGACAGGGGATCGGTCAGGGGCGCGTCCTGCGGGACAGCTTGCACACGCGTGCCGAGAGGCCCCCGTATCCAGCTCACCGGGCGTGCAAACAGACAAGCGATTCAGGGGATCGCCTGCTCGGCCCTCCTAAAAGACAACTATCAACACAGAGCCACTTCCTAATGTCGCCCAGTTTTTAGCGGCATGCCGAGCCCACTACTCCACCCGAGATCTGGCATTGGGCGATGGAGACCAAAAGCTTATATAAAACTCGGCTTTCCTGCAATACTCAATATTCCCGTTGGGAGAGAAAAGTACAGCATTCAAAACGCACGCAAGAGCCCAGGGCTCTGAGACACGCCGAGCTTCAGACCTTGCCTGTAAGTGACAAGCAGCGAGCAACGTGCATCTGAAGAGTGAAAAACAGGAAGAAAATTCAGCGATTGTAAAGATTGCAACTCTGATACAGGCATTTCCTTTAATACCCACCTCCTGCGATTTGAGAATTATTCTTTCACGAGGAACTTGATGAAAATCTACACATTCCAACCCTGTCGCCTGCTCGGTTTATATCCACCACTGGTGCCGCCTGTTCACAGACCGCCACTAAGAACATTAAACAAGACCACATTCTCTTAATCCAGGTGACTGTCTTCTAGAATCTTACTGCCATCCGGATGATCCCCTAGTTTGGTTCTTTGCAACAGTAGTAAGACTTCTTGGTCACTAGTCACTGTTCAGCCCTGTCCTCTTGACAATTTCCCAGTGCCTGGGTATGTCCCCCGTCTCGGGAAACTGCTGGAGGAGTTTTTTTCACGCCCCACTGGACACACCTCCAGTGCAATAAGAGATAAGTGCTTCTTTCTTAGACCTGTGACACATCTGCCCCTTAAACGCCGACGTCTCCTGGATAGCTTTGTTCTTCCCTGCCCTGGGGCACAAGGTCTGTCTCTTCCTTGCTCAACCCCCGAGCGAACTACTTATTTTCTGCTCGAGCCACTTCTCCTTCCTGGCCATAATGTTTCCCATGATCACCCCCGAGTCACTTCATCCTTTACCGCTGGAACGCCAAGAAAACCGGGTCGTCACTGCTCGTGTTGATCTCTCGGGGCCTGACGTCCTGTTGCGCCGTGTCTGAAATTCGCACAGGACCAGGGTGGAGAGGGGGAGACCAGGGCCCGCTGCAGCAGGAAACACCACAATCTGCTTTCAATCACAGCCCAACCCCACCCCCCCCTCAGCTAGAGCTGTCAGAAAAGAGGAGCGCGGCCCGTCGGCCTGCCCCGATCAGGGACTCTGCACGAGAGAGAGAGAGGCTGGAGAGTCTTCCATCGAGCCCCAGGAAACGAAGTGGAGGAGGGGGTGCCTTCTTCCTGCCATTTTTTTTAAGTCTCCACTCGTTTTCTTGCAAAACATACTACATCTGGGCAGGAGGGCTGATCCGGGTGGACAGAAGTGAAAGAGATTTTGGCAGTATCTCCAGTTCCGCACACTGTCCCCACCCCCTCCTTCGGCCCGTTTAAGGCTGCTCTGGCCTTCCTCTCCTGCGCAGCGCAGGCAGCCGTGAACTACACTAACCCCCTATCCCTCTCCCAGAACCCCACTGCTGCTGGGGCAGTGAGCAGACGCTTTCACAGACCCTCACAACAAAATCTTTATTATTACTATTGAGGCTCATTCTTTGTTGCCTAAACAAAAGCCGTGACAGAAGACAGGAAACTTGACTGTGGAAAGTTTCCTCTCTCCTCCCCCAGTAAAACTGGTGGCTGCTCCGATTCTGGGAGGTATTGGAAGTCTGGGGTTAGACTGGCTATTTCATGGAAGAAAATTACTCTAAAATCCCAGGGCAGTGTGGCAGAAAGTGCTGACTCAGCCTATGGTCCTCCCTGGACAGCCAAGACTGCCCGTGTCCAGTTTCTACAGCCAGGCATATACTTCATCAGAGTCTGTTTCTCCTTGCTGCCCTTACCCTGTTCAGATACCCATCTGGCTAGTGCGTGTAGAGCTGTTTGTCTTGTGCTGTGATCGGGTTGACTCAGATTCCTGGTATACTGTATTAACAGTGCTCCTGAAGCTGGCTGGTGTCACTGTGGCTCAGGGCAGTGAGCTTCAGGACCAGCTGTGCTTCTGCGGTGCCTCGCGAGCTGATATGTTTGTATGAACTCCTCCCTCTCATTCTCTGTCTGGTGTTAATGTACTTTACAGTCAAGATGGTCTGTGTGAGTACGACCCCCTCTGTTTTTCAGCACTGTGTTGATCTACTGCAGCATTCAGGCGGTCTGTATTAACCTGGCTCAGCTCTCTGTTCTAACCCTCCGCACGCCCGGCTCAGCGCGTCAGTGCTGGGGAAGAGTCCTGTACACAAACAACCTCCTTCACCCATCGGCTCAGTGCAGAACAGCAACGCCCCACCCCTGACGCCAGGGAGCTGCAGCTGGCCAGGGGGTTAATCCCCACTCTGCGGGGGCAGGGAGGGGGAGGGGCCAGCAGTAACAGAGGACTTGCCCCACCCCCTTCCCATCTCCCACCTCCGCCCCCCTCCCTGGCAGCTCCTCCGACCGCCCTGCAGGGGTGCCAGCTCGAACGTGTTCTTATCCCGGAGGTCACAGTCCTGAGCCAGCTGGGGTCAGGGACAACCATTAAGAACTGAAGTAAGCTTACAAGAAAGAAGAGGCCATTCAGATCACCTAGGACACTTAGTAGCAACTGATCCTAAGATCTCCTTCAGCCATTTCTCGGAAGAAACTAAGATATCAGCTTCAACAACATGGCTAGGCAGCTTGGTCCATTCTCCTACCACTCTTTGTGTAAGAAGAGTGCCTCCTCTTCTTGGTTATCAGTGCACATCCACATCATTTTCCCTTGTGCCCTCTGCTTTGTCCTTCATTGCAGATTCTGAAGAAATCCACTGGGTTGATTTTGGCCATATCTCTTGGGGATTGGGAAAATTTCTATCAGGTCCCCTCACAACATTCTGTTCAAGACTAAAACAATTCAGTTGTCTCAGCCCCTCACCGTAAAATCCAGACTATCTGGTTGCTCTTCTCTGGACTGATTCCAGAGCAACACTACCTACTGCACAATGTGGTGACCAATATTATAAACTGTATCCTAAAAGAACCCTTACTTGTGCTTTATACATATGGAATAATGCAATCTAAGCTCTTTAATTCCACTTCCAGATTCATTTTTCTAGGGATTTTTTTTCCCCCAAAGCATTACTAAACACACCAGCTGTCTGTAAACAGATTCTCCTTAATCCTACACCTTGAATGAAAGCACTACCACGTTTTGGATGACTCAACTTCAGTTCTCCGTCTTTCCTGACTTCCATTACAGTCACATTAATAACTTGCCAATAAGTGCCAAGCACTGTGCAATGTTATTTTTTTGCCCATCTGCTTTTCCATGAATCCACACAGCAATTGCGTAGAAAATGTCCTGGATTTTATTTAATCTAAAGTGGAGTATGTGGCTTCTGGCCTCCTCGTTGGCGCCACAGAGAACAAACACCTTCAAGAAGCCCAGAATCTCAGGAACTCAAGTCTTGCCCGGAAGACAACCTCCGCCGTCTCTGCTGAAGACAATCTGACATTGTTGCTTTCAGGCTGAAGCCGACATCCACTGGCTTGAGTGACCCTAGAGACCAGGCTCCATTTACCACGCTCAGTGTGTCAGTCGATACAGTACTCGGGTCTCCCATTCTCCTCCACCATGGGGGCTCACATTTCAAAACACCAGAATGAGTCAAGTGACTAAAGGCGCAGCAAGAGTAACAGCACCAGAGCCATGATCACACCAGGAGCTCAAGATCTCCATCAGCACAGTGTTATCTCTGGCGGGGCAGGCTCTAGACTCACCAGCAGCCCACAGAGTGACTCAGATCACATCAAAACAAACAGCAAAGAGACCGTCCTGGCACTCCACCACTGCAGTGAAGAATCCCACAGTCAATGTTAATCACACCACTGGCACCGAGACCACCCACAGGGCAGGAGCCAATTGCCTGGGAGTGGCAGAGACGTCCACAAACCTGCCCCAGGGCCTGTCGGGGTCACAGAGCAGCAGCAGCAGCTCCTGTTCATGGAGGAGACCCCCAGATCAGACACTGGTTTAGTGGGGACTGTTGGGCAGCCAGATTGCTCAAGTCCAGAGTGGAATTTAACAACCCCTTCCGTTACTAACGGCACCAGGCACATGGCTGTGCAGCTTGTTCCCCACTCCTACAACCCTTCATGTAACGAAAGAACAGGAGACACCGTATAAAACATTTTAAAAGCACTATTTAAAGAATAGATGGGACTGTGCTCACCCCCAGCCACCGTGCTCCCTTGTTGGCTGCCTGCTGGATCTGGATCCTCTTCAGAGTGACATTGTAGATGGCCCCCTCCTCCACCTCCTCCCCCCAGTCCTGCACCGAGCTCTGCTGGGGAAGACAAACACTGTTACACCTCGGGGAGAAGCGGGGACAGGATTCACCGATACACCACACGGCACATCTGACTGCACCCATAGCTGTAAAATATCCCCCATTACTAAAAGCACCTGAGAAACGGCACCCCCGCAGTGGCGTCACCTGCCCTTCCCACGATTCCTCAGGAGAAAGTGACGCCCTCACACAACTCTGCAGAGCAAGCTTGCACGAAGCTCCAAGAAGACAAGAGCAGATTCTCCCAGAGCTGGCATTCTGACTGGCAGTAAACAGCCTGGAGGTCGATTTGTGAGTGACTATATCTGCAAGGCATGGAATTTAGAGATTGGGCAGCACACAGGGGGAGAAGGGCCATACCACCTCCTACTTCACAGAGCACCATCAGCATCACAGTGAGAATCAAAAATAAAATCTACACAACTGTAGGAGCGCGAGAGACAGCCAAGAGACTGTCAGGACAGGCCTAACAGGGCCAGAGAAAAGGAGAGCCCCGGTGCTTGAGCTGAAACTGATCCAGAACACACACACACACACTCTCCAGCTCGCCCACACGGCTGAGAACCCCCACACGAGCTGCGAACCAGGGAGGCAGAAGGCAGCCATGACCTGGTCTGGCACTGCCGACCGGGGGGGGGGGGGGACACAGGGGGTACTGTGACAGCCGGAAAGTAAATAAAACAATTTCCTCTCCCAAAGAGCACGACCCCCCTGGGAGCATAGAGTCACTGGCACAAGGCCCTGTGCTTCCGAGAACCCCCCCCACACACGTCTCCCTGTGACACCAGGGTCAACAGATCAGCAGGCTGATCCTCCCCAAGATGAGATCTGGGAAGGGAACAAATTCGCCAACGGTCACTCCCGTTGCCGAGGGAGGGGGGCAGAGTTCACCGGGACTCCACCAGATCATCTTTCACCTTAGAAACATTAAGCACATTAGGCAATTCCTATCAAAGTCCCATGCTGAGTGCCTGATTCATGGACTTATAACATCAAGGCTTGATATTCCAACTGTTTATGGGCTCCCCAACAAGTTGCAATATGTACAAAGCTCTGCAGCTGGACTACTAACCTACACCAGACCTTGGCAGCCTATCACTCCTACACTTGAGTCTCTACATTGGTTGCCTATAAAGGCGCAGTACCAATATAAGGTCTTGTTACGGACTTTCAAGGCTCTAAACAGTCTGGCTCCATCACACAGTACATCTCTGACCTCCATGTTTACACTCCCTCCCATAGGCTCTGGTCAGTGGAGGCTGGTCCCCTGCTCACTGTTCCCAGCACTAAATCACGGGCTTGTGGCGACGGTGTCCCTTCTGTTGGTGCTCCAGTGTTATGGAATAACCTTCTTCAGACACTGTGAGACAACGTCTTTGACTCTCTTCAAATCCAAATGTCAAACTTTCCTTTTTATCAAGGTCTAGGTCTGATTGACAGGTGCCCTACACCTGTATAAACCTCTATGCTCTTATTTAACTTTGTACTGTACTTTTTTTTTGTTCGTCTTTATCACTATGTACAGCATGCCTGGTTTAAAAAGGTGCTTTATACTGTAGGTAAAAATTATCATTAACCGAAAAATAAACAGCGCCAGCAGATGCCAGGGTTCGGCGCAAGCAGCAGCCACCAGACGCTCCAGTGACGCTTGTCCAGGCCGCACACTAACCCCCTGACCCGCCAGAGGTGCGCGCCACCCCACGGCTTGCGCCGAGCACCCGGAGCAGCCCAGGGGTTGTCGGCAGCAGGCGCGGCGCACCTCTGCCACCCAGCCGCGCGTGCCTGCGGGCGGGGGTGTTGGAGCAGAACTCATCTCATTAGTGGTTTTGCACCGCCATGCTCCTGCTCCCCACAAACCAGCAGGCTGGGGAACAATTCACAACGCTGGAGACACCCACAATCCCATCATATACACACACACAGAGGGAGGGGGGACCACACAGAGGAGGGCTTGCAGCAACACACAGCCGGGAGCCACTGCCAGCTCTGTGTGGGGTCTGCGTCTCCCTACCTCACACTCCTGGGAAGCAGAGGGAATTATTTCCTACACGCAGCTCTGTCTCGTATCGGGAATGGAGTCCCCCCCCAAGAACACAAACCACCACCCTTTCCCTCTGATTGCATGGTCTCCTGTATGAAAACACTGGGGTGTTCCTTGTGGAGAACTCCCCCTGGAGCAGGCAGGCTGCGTGGGGTGACCCAGGTCCTCGCACTCCTCACCGACGGTCAGCCCAGAGGACTTCTGCAGGGCAAACCGCGAAACAGTCCCCTGACTACGAGAGGAAAGTAGGGGGAAGTGCATTGAACACTGACAAAAGGAGGCCAATCTTTACACAAAGGGTGGTGGGAGTATGGAACACACACTATGCAGCCATGCTGTTGTAGCCGACACCACGGTTTCTTTCAAAAACAGCTGCATCAATTACTAAATTACCTAACCAGCTAGATGAACCGAATGGCCTCTTCTCGTTTGTAGCCTCTCTTAACTTTTTAAATGAAAGCCACATGCGTGAGGTCACTTAGAAAAACACTACTGCCACAAAGGACCACCAGCAAACCCTGTTTGTCGTTTTCGGGACAAAATGGGGGAAGATGTTTTCCCTGGATTGTGCGACTGCGGAGGGTGGGAGGCGTCTGAATTAAAGTGGCGTTTTCCAAGTTGGAAAGGCCCAAAAGTCTTGGTACATCGTCGCACACATTTCAGGTCTTTAGCTAGGCCAGGCTACAATGCCCAGCTACGAGTCGCACTTCCAAAAGAGCGAGGGGTGTCGAGACAACGGCTCCCGTGTTTCCGTGGGCACAGTGTCATCACCTCGAGCCAAGCCCACGCCCGCACACGGACAGCTCAAGGGTTAAACTGAATCTCATCTCCCCCTGCGCACACAAACGATTCTAGCCGCTCCTGGACGTTGTATATCCCACCGTCTCAGATTACAACTGAAAGAGACGGACGGACCCCTGGTAAAAACATTAATTAGCAGGTCGAGCTAAACGCTTCATAGCGTACTGCAGGTACCAGAAGCCAGCACAGCAATTAGCCCTTTAAAGTTTACCACAGACGTGATTTGAAAGTTCATCCATTAGGCACAGAAGTATATACATTCGTGTACCTCAGAGGAAAGCGCCTATCTTTTTTTTAAAAAAAAAGTGTTGTTGAAAAGTTGTTGCTGAGGGACTGTCGTGAGGAAAAGTGAATCGGAGAACTCCCTCAGGGAAACCTGCTCAGATTCTGATTGTGTCGTCCCTGCCAGGCGCTACACAATCTGAATCAATAGGAAAAAGTATTATCCGCGGCCGTGAAATTTCCTGCAGAGATTACTACAGGATGCATAGTTTTCCTACTGAGTCATGCACTCCCACACTGCACAACACTGCCGCGGTGACCGGCGCGTCCCTGCGACCCCCAGCCGCCGGACGACGAGAGCACTCTGTCGGACCGCCGAAGTGTCCCGTCCCGCTAGCGAGTAACAATCCCGTCTGAGCGGCGAGGAGACCGCAGAATAGCAGGCGCCTTCCTGCCTAAATGCCTTACGGGTTAATGGCTGCTAGCAGGACAGACCAAGTGACTATACAGCGGAACAAAAAAAAACTTCGTAAGCATTCTCGCACAGACGCGTTTTAATGAAATCCAGATTGAGCCTCGGCGACGAAAACAAGCGCCTCTTCCACTTCCACGAAACCCCTGACGAGGCGAGAAGCCGTTTCCTTTTCAGTGGGGGAGAAGAAGGGTATATAAATAATGTCTCGTGAAGTTGGTCTGTTTCCACTAAAACGGTCTCCGAGCTGGGAGAAATAATAACATTACACAACCAGTCAATGCAGACAGCGGGATAAACGGACTGGCTGCGAGAAGGTACAGAAACTTGTCCACACCAGACAGGAGAAACTCCGGGTGAAAATATTTCCCTTCTTCCCCCTGTGAAATAAGTAGACTTTGCCCCCGTTTTTTTTGCTGAACAGTTTATGCTCAGCTTGTAATGACATTGTATTGGCGAACTAAGCGCCGTGCAACACCATCCGAAATCACTTTGGGATAATTGCAGCCGTAATAACACAAACCCCCTCTCTCTGTGCACGCAAAGGAAACCTCTTTGGAAAACTTGCAGACCGTGAGGCGCTCTCAGTTTGAACTATTGTCCGTCCTTCATCCAACCCAATTTTTGGGCAGTTTGTTATTTTAGCTATCGCCGTGCTGAAAAACACATGACTGTAGTGACTTATTTCACCCCCACAAAACGGCCCTGACCCGTGTACAGACGGGCTGAAGAGAAAAGCACAACACAAACGTTGTTTTCCTTACTATGAGACACAATAACTTGACAATGTTTTCTGGCCTCACCCCCCGTGGTCCCCTCCCCTATCTCTCCCCTTCATCCGCTACTTTCCCATGACAAATACAACCCCCCCCCCCTCCTCCTCCTCGACCCATCCTGTCCCACGGAGAACAGCCCCGCACACAAGCCCACGGGGGAGAAACAAAAAAAAGAAGAAAACACCGTGCGAGTAAAGCGGGGTCCCAATTACCATCTTAGCTTTCCAGGCGAATTTCATCGTGAGCGTTTCCCGCATGGTCCGTTCGGGGCATGAGAGCTGGTTTTCTCTTCCCCGCGGCGCCGCGGCGTCACAACTTTCAGCTCCCCAGCGTTTATTATTGTCCCGTCTGAGCGCATCTACTCTCGCCTTCCCTCTCTCTCTCTCTCTCCTTCTTCACACACACAATCAGTCCCAGCTTTCCTCTTTCTTCTGCTGTCTTCTCCCAACTCCCCCTCCGTCCCTCCCTCTTGAAGTCTCTCTCGGCGCTCCGTTACTCAAAGACTGGAGCTCCGCCCCCCGGCTCCTACTCTGCGACCGAGCTCCGACACGGGGGTTTACCCTGGAAAGTACTCGGGTTTCTGTTTTCAATACGCGACGGTCAGGCTGCTTTCTCTTTAGAGTGGCACAGCGTTGTTGCTTTTGTTATTATTCTTAATGCTGCCCACCCTGAAAGCCATGGTGGC